ACCTCCCTCGATCCTAGCCAACCTCCTCCTGCTGCTCGGTCTGAGTGATCCTAATCTGTTTTGGATCGCGGTGATGACGTGGACCTATGAGAACATAGGTAAGCCTATTTAAGGCTGTGTTAGCCCCCATTCATTGCCCCATCGTGGTTTCTGTAAGAACTTTGTTTAGTGCTCTTAGTCACTAGATTCTTTTGTGGTTTCCTTTGTTTGACCTCGGCTTCGTATTTGACTCATGATTTCTGGTATTCTGACCCCGGCTTTGTATTTGTCTTGTGATTTCTGGTATCCTAACCTCGGCTTCGTATTTGACTCGTGTTTCTGGTATCCTGACACTGGCTCTTTCTTGACTCTGAGTATTTCTGTTCTTGCGATTTATTCTTGACCCTGATTCTTGTTTCGTTATGTTAAGTCTGGCCATTGTAAGGCTTGGTAATACGCCTTTCGGATCCACCTTGAGGTTTCCTTTTTCCTGCGTGTTGGGTTACGACTCTTGTGACAGGGACAATAGGTTGCCCCACCTTTGTCTTTTATGGCCCCCACCTGTCGCTCATGGGTGGGTCTGGGTGAGGACAATAGGTTCCCCTCCCTTGTCTTTTAGGGCCCCCACCTGCCGCTCCTGGGTATAGGCCAGGGGGGAGGACAATAGGTCCCCTCCATTTTCATTTAGGGCCCCCACCCGCCGTTTGTGGGTGGGGGAGAGGGGAGGACAATAGGTCTTCCCCCATTTTAATTTAGGGCCCCCAGCTGCCGCTCATGGGTGGGGGCCAATGGGGACCCTATGTCCCCCATCTAGTTGCATAGCCCACACTCACAGGGCACAGGTGGGGGCTTGGGGGGACACTATGTCCCCCCTCTAGTTAATAGATGCTCCAGCATGGGGTGCTTTATTTATATTCTATTTTTTACAACCATGAGCAGGCACAGGCTACTCACTGTTTGCTTAGTATTAGTAATTAATTAATGAGTAGTGGCAGATTAATTACTAATACGAAGTAATTTTTAATTAGTATTAGTAAAGATGGCTGAAAGACCAATCTTGGTCTTTCAGCCTTTTAGTAGATGGTTCCCAAATACCATGGTAATTAGGGAGTTATCTACTAAGCGGCTGCAGGATTTCAAATAAATTTGTAACCGGCATAAAAGTACCAACTGTCATCCTAACATTAATGAACAAACTGTTCTCGTTCTGTTATGACGAAATTCAGTAGTTTCACAGGCGTTCTGTCTAAATGAGAGGACGTTCGGGAATAGTGAAAGCAGGCATCGCAACATCACGGAGGAAAGGGTGAGTATTGTGGGAACATTTTTCTGACCCACAGGTAGTGGGTCAAAGTGGGTCAAGCGTAGGAAAAAAACATACAAAGTAGTCTGTACTTTATCTTTTGTTTTAAACAAAACTAGAGCAGATAGAAATAAATGAAGAACAGTTCCTGAGAGACAGGGAAGGATTAACATAGGGACTGATGGAGCTGCAGCTCCAGGCCCAGACCCGTGGAATAGGCCCATGTAAAAAAAGTAAACTTTTTTTTTTTTTTTTTACACAAAGTACTCTTGGGTTTGCCACCTGACTGGCCGTGACAGTATTGCAGTAATTACCAGCAATACAAATGCAGATATTTTTCTCAGTATGTACAGAGATTACTCTGCAATATCAGCACCAGCCAGTAGGGGTCACTGTGTGTGGAGAGAGGCAGGGATAGGAAGTTACAGCATATCACTCCCTGCCTCTCTCTACTCACTGATCCGCGGGGGAGCAGCTACACCACACAGAGAGTTCAGACAGCAGCTCCCAGGCTGCAGAGAAGGCCTACAGCTCAGGGAAGTGAAGGATGGGGGGAAAGGCAGACATAGGGACATTGGGAGAACATTGGGACACAGAACACTAGGGACACAGTGTCTCCATGTCTGCCAGTGTCCCCATGTCTCCCAGCCAGTGTTCCCAGTTTATGTGTACCCATGTCTCTGTGTCCCTAGTGTCTGTGTCCCCATTTCTCCCAGTGTCCCCAAATGTCTCAGTGTCCCCATGTCTCCCATGTCTGTATCCACAAGTGCCCCCATGTTTCTCAGTGCCCCCATGACTCCCAGTGTCCCCAAGTGTCTCAGTGTCCCCATATCCCCTAGTATCCTAGTGACACGGGAAACACAGACATGGGGACATGGTGAGAAATGAGGACACTGGGAGTCTAGGGGACTGGGCAACATGGGGACACTGGCACTGTGATACATAGGGACACTGATGCCAGGCTGTCCTTCCAATTCTTTGGACAGACATGCCCCCTTTTTGAGCATGTTCGCCCCTTTTGGCAGTTCTGGTCACGTGATTCGCATCACTGGCCCACCCTTTTACCCTGCCCATAGAGTTTCTGCTTCACTGGACACTGCTGTTAGTTTGTATGGATTTACTTGAAAGATGAAAGCATAAATTAGAGACAGATTAGCATAGAGTATGTGTTTTCTTATAGCTGCATCCTTTGAGTTTCCATCCAACACCATCTCCATCAGATACATGACGCTTGGGATGTATGACTGTTTCATTGTTTTTGGTCGATAAGATTCTGTAATTAGGCCCCATCATAACTGTCAGCACCAGGCCCACTGGGCTCTTAATCTGGCCCTGCTGAGAGAGGGAGAGAAGAGGAAGCGATTGGGGAAAGGTAGGTTCGGCATGACAGTGCAGCTTTAAGGATTGTATAATTCTATGGGAACAGTTTATGGTTTGCATACCTTTAAAAACACATGTCAGAAAAAACTGAAGATTTATAGGCAAGAAGAATGCATATGTTCCAAAGAGTTCAAAATAGTACTGAGCAGCACCTAAACCCTATTTCAAGTTTTATTTTGTTTACCAAGTAGGTAATATACCATTGTTTTAAAATTAGAGGGTTTCATATTTTAGTATTTAAGAACCACTCCTATTGAACTGCTTTGTGGATGACAAGTAACTGTTTTTCAAACACACCTTTAATTAAAAACAAAACACCTAGTTATTATGAAGCAAGGTGTAAGTAATATATATCTAATATACTCTTTAGATACATTATTATGGAAGAGATGAAAACTGAGATTAAATATTGTTGTGATATGTGGAACCTGCCGGAAAACAATGCAAATTATAACGTAAACTACAAAATATTAATAATAATAATAATAATGTAATTGCAAAAAAAAAACTGTATAAACATTTAATATAGATGACATTAATATCTTTGGAATGAAAAGCTTTCAGGAGATATTTTATTTCTCAAGTATCATATGTTATTGCGCCATAGCTGTCCTTCCCTTAACCCATGACCAGTGGTAGAACTACTGCAGCCATACATATAGAGGAAATGCGATAGGCAGGCTGGTCTGATTTGTGGTCCAGTCGGGTTCTTCAGCCCATTAGCAGCACAACTGGGCCGCTTTAATGTTGCTACCCAATGCTTCCTCCCAGCTTACAGACCAGAGGTTGCCAGGATGGAGAAGGACCAGAGTGGAGAGGAGGGAGAACACTGCAGGCAGACTCTCACCATTCTCAGGCAGTCCGAAAAGCCACCTTCCTGCCTCCAAAAGTATTGAAGCAGAGGGGTGGCTAAAAATATGTAAATTGCAACTGGTGTGTCTGTGTGAGTATCTGTTTGTCAGTGAGTGCGTATATCTGTATATGCCAGTGTGGATATATGTGTGTGTGTATTTATATCTATATTGAGAGCAATATGGTGTGAGCAGGGTTTAATGTCATTGAGTCTCAGGTATCAATTGAGGATTTGACCCAGGTATCTCCTCCTCTCAGCTGGAGCCACAAAGAGTAGCCCCAGAATGACAGATGAGCTGTATGCAGTGCTCAAGTGAGCGCTACATACAGCCTTTTAAATCAGTTGAAATCAGCACAGCTAAAGAGACCCTGACAGGGTCTACATGAATGCTCCCATGACATTTTGATCAATGCTGGGCTTTGCTTGTTGCCCAGCACTGATTCTCCCTGTCACGCTGAATACAGCTGGTAGATGACGGCAACATAACACTGTTTTGTTTTAGCTTACAATTCCCTTTCCTAATAGTATGGATCTGATCAGAGGGAAATTCTCAGGATTAGGATTATATTTTATGTTTAGGATTAGGTTTCAGATTAGTATTTTAGGATTATGGACTGAATTAGTGTATGGATTATGGTGCAGATTACAATAAGAACCAACAAGGAAATCGCTCTGCGTAAATAATTCATTTCTCTGCTGACAAGAGCATAGGGCATCATTTTAATAGCATTGCTAAGGTTAGGATTAAGATTAGGATTAGGTTTATAACTAGAGTTAGATTTTTTTATAAAATATTTGACCAGGATGGTTACATTGAGATTTATCTCATTTTCAAGTATGTCCTTGGTCCACAAAACATTGCATTGTTACAATAGGATACAATATTACAAAAATAAAATATACAAACAATAAATATATATATATATATATATATATATATACACATACACATACACACACATACATACACACATATATAAATGTAATACATAACAGGTAATAAATATATTCAACCAGTGTTTGATCAGTGTTTGCACCTGTCATTATAGGAGAATGAAAGTTGTATGGGAGACTATCTATAAATGAGGAAATTAACTTGGGGTAAGTGAGGGGTAGGTTGGGAGGAAAACTGTCCTCAAGAAGGCTACCTGTTGCAAAGGGCAGTGGAACAGCTGATGGAGCTCTGTGTTGCCTGTACGTCTGGGGCTGGGTAAGTTTTAAATCAGGCCGAGGGAGAGAAATATATTAGGGTCAAATGGGCCTGCAATAAAGCTAAGGGATGGGGGAGATGCATCTACGGACATTTGAGGATAAGGGTCATTCAATCAAATACAAAGGGAAAGATCACAAATCACATAGATAAGACAGAGGTATTCATGTAGGGAAATAAAACCATTAAACAAATACCAAGAAAGACAAATGGGCGTGAAAAATGGTGAAAAAAATGGCACTTTAATAAAGTTCAAAATATATAATCTAACAGTCCCCAAGGTGTCCACATTTGAAATGGTATGCATTAATGGAGTAATTTAAATGTGTGAGGTACCGTAATTTCCCTAAATGCACTACAGATCCATTCTTCAATTTTTCATGTTAAAAAAAACAAACTGCACTGGTATGTTATCAGTTTGGCATTATATTTTTACTTGTCAAAGCTTGACAAAGATATGTGAAAGAGGTCAGTCTGTAGTCAAGAGATATAGCTGTGCACAATTGAGTGATTATTTTTATTACAGCAGCACAAACGAAGTAAAAAAAAAAATATTGCTACTTTGCAATGTGCATGCAACACCCCCCACAAAAATAACATAATACCATAAACGTTGAAAAAAGCTAGTTAAATTGACTGTACAATTAGGCTCAAAATATACCATATGACACATTGCATGGTGTGTATGCGTTTAAGGGGTAACTGTCAAACTGCTATAATGCCACAAAATGCAAAATAGTCCAATTAAATCTACCTACAAAAATTCTAACTATAATAATTGAAATAGTCAAGTCTGTTATATGGCACTATAGCTTCACAGGATAGTGGTAAAGGCATACATTGGTTGTATTGTAGTACTCAGAATATGTAGCAGCACACAACAGTACATATCTGGTTTATGAAATACAATGCAAAAAAAATTGTTTATGTAGCAAATAAACTAAGCAAAAAACAAACAAACACACATTACTGGCACTTAGATGGCTATGTAAAAAGTGTAAAAATACCATTATTTATCAGTCTGTAATTTTGTGGGGGGTTTTCTGTTGCTATTAAACTTGCAAAATAAATAAACCAAATTTTAAAATAGATTCACGTTGATTTTTTTTTTTACTCCTTTTATTTTGTGGCCTGTAACTGCTACTGGAATACAACAACACTGTGGTTGTTATGGAAACATCCCAGCCAGTGCTGGCTATTGAGTATAGGAACGGGGTGATGTGACATCAGTCCGTTCCAGTGCTGCACGTTGGCAACTAAGGCAGTGTGCCGATGTTATTAATGGGCTTTGCCCTGCTTGTTTTGCAAGCAGGACAATCAAAGAGGACAGCGGGAGGATGCAAAGCGGAGGATGGCCTGGAGGTAGTAAATCTCTATATTTTACTACCTTTGTGATATATTGTGTATTCAATGTATAAGGGTTCGCTGTCAGGTAAGTGAAAATTTGCATGATGGGTTCACGTTAAGTCACACTAATTATGCACACATTATTATTGCCAAAAGTGTGATTTTTTTTTCCATTTAGATTTGCATTTTTTTTTCATAATAAATGAGAATTTATATCTATAAGTCACAACAAAGTAAAGTCTTGTTTGTCCTTTAAAGAGCAGTATATAATATGTGTTGGTGCAATAAATGAGAAAGATAGACATTGCGGTAGAACACACACAAAGCAAAAATAGCTTGAGTCCTTAACTACAAAACAAGCAAACTGAAGCTATGTTCTTAATGGGTTACAGATTCACATTCACGTAAGCATTCAGTTAATTTACCACAAAAAAATAGGAAATTACTTTAAATTAAACATGTTTATTATTTTCTTAAAAGTCTTTCAAGGCACTCCAAGTACAAAAGTTTTGTGAGCAGATATATATGTACAATTTGCAAGAAATAAATAATTGATAAAATTCACTGTATATGATTTTGTAAAATAATTCTTTAGTGCAGTACTTTGCAATCACTCACAACAAATATCCTTCTGTGTAATGCATTCACAAATTGGCAAATCTTCAAAAGTTACAATATGTTTAAAATAAAGACTTAATATTCTGACAATTGAATATTTATCTCTACCTAAAGCTTAAAGTGCATATATAACTAAATTACAAGGTGTGTTGTTTTTCAAGACATAAAAGTATATTAAGCTTTTGCATAATAAACAAAACGTGACGGTGAGTTGACAGTTTGTTTAAAAAAACGAATAGGGTTTACTGAGCCCTAATTTATCATTTTAAGTCATACCATACTTTTAATTTTCAAGGATATATGATTAATCAAAAAAACCTAAAAAACTAAATTTTCTGGTTCCATTGATAAGCCGTTTTGTTAGTTTTGCAAAACTAAAACAGCATTAAACTTTTAATAATTTTCAGTGTTTTTTTATCAACATATTTTTACTGATGAATCTTGTGACAAAATCAATAGCCAGTGCTTTATGATGATATATCTATATATATATATATAATAATCAGTATTGTGTTTTTTGTTTTTTCTTAATAAGTTGGGAATTGTGGTGTTTTTGACACATGACCTGCATATTATATGTTAAAACAGCAGAGCTGGAAAAATAGTTCACATAAAGACTATTTCAGCTCCAGCTATTTTTGCCTACAATGAAAAATATAGTTTCCACAAATCCAAGTTTACCTTGTAATCCTATAACACTTATTTACAAATGATAAAATCTGTTATATTACAAGCCTAAATGTGAGACGTGAATTGCTTTTGAGTGTTTGGTTAATATACTTACTGACAAAATCTGAATGTCCAAGTGGTATCGTACAAGCATAGTACATGTTGCTACTGAAGATTATAAGCATCAACAAAGGGTATAGACACATCAATTGGTGCACTTAGAATTTCCAACAAATATACTTTAACCCAGTTAATATTTTCAAAGTCTTATGCATACTTGATTTTTTTCTTTCTACAAAATGTAAATATATATATTTTAAAAAAAGGACAACTTCTTGTATAGAGAGCAAAGGTTCTTAAATTGAATACACAGTGCTCTCCACTAATATTGGCACACTTAGTAAATATGAGCAAAGAAGGCTGTGAAAATAAGTCTTTATTGTTCAACTTTCTGACCTTTTGTTTAAAAAAATACACAAAAAATACTCTGCTCTCATCAACGTCTATAAACCATTTGCAAACACAACACAGGCGTATAAAAAAAAATCTTTGTTAAATATATGTGTGAAACAATTATTGGCACCACTATGAATTAATATGATAAAAATACACCTGAAGATTTTCCTGAAGATTTTTCAGGTGTATAAATATGAGGTAACGCATTGGCAAAATTTCCTCAGTTATTCCTTACAATGTGACCAATGAACTTAGCTGTGTTGTGCAAAAAAAGGTTTAAGAACTTCAGTAAATGGGAAGTGGCTATAAGAAAATAGCAAACGCATTGAAAATGCCCATTTACACCATCAAAGCAATCATTAAGAAGTTCCAGTTAACTAGAAACGTTATGACTCAATCTGAAAGTGGACATGTGTCTATGTTGTCTCAATGCACTGTGAAGAATATGGTTCATGTGGCCATAAAATCTTCAAGGATCACAGCAGGAGAACTGCAGAAGTTTGTTGCATCTTGGGGTTAGAAAGTCTCCAAAACTTCAGTCTAACATCACCTACATCACCACAAGTTGTTTGGAAAGGTTTCAAGAAAAAAAAGACTACTCTCATCCAAAAAAATCAAGTGTCTTCAGTTTGCAAGACACTACTAGAACATTAAATGGGATTGCGTTCTATGGTTAGAAAAAAACAAAAAATAGAGGTAGGTTTGCTTAAAATGGGCCATAGTTGGATCTTCCAGCAGGACAATGATTCAGAAAACACATCAAAAAACACAAAAATGGTTTACTGACCACAAAATCAAGGTCCTGGCATGGCCATTCCAGTCTATAGAAAACCTTGGGGTGTACTGAAAAAGAGAGTCCACCAGCGTTGACCTCAAAATCTGGAGAGGTTCTGTATGGAGGAATAGTCTCAGATCTCTTGACATGTATTGTCCGCCTCACAGCTGTTATCTTGACAAAGAGAGGTGGCACAAAGTATTGACTAAAAGGGTGCCAATAATTGTGTGCATATATATTTAACAATTATTTTTAATAAAAAAAAACTGTGTTGTGTTTGCAATTGTTTGACATCCATGAGAGCAGAGTATTTTTGTGTATTTTATGAAAAAAAAGATCAAAAGATTAAACAATAAAAATTCTAAAAAAATATTTTTGTCATCATTCTTTGATCATATTTACCAAAGGTGCTAATATTAGTGGAAGGCACTGTACATCTGTGCACATGTATCCCTGAGATCTGCTATGTTTTATTTGTTGGTTTTAATGATCTAGTCAGTGAGGCACTTTACATTGCAACAAAATAGTTGATAGCTTCTTAAAATGTGTCATGATGGTTTAAGTCTGTTGTTCTAAGACCTCCAAATAGTCCGGTTCAGAATGGAGATTGGCTTTAAGCTCAAAATATTCATTTTTAGTCTGCTCTACCAAAACCTTCCGTGGTCTAGAATACATAAATGTTTCCATTAATTTTAACTCATCGCGAGTTCTTGGATAATGTACTTCAGTATCTGGTTGTAAATTACTGATGTTTTTCCTTAAATATTCAGCAATTCCAAGCTGTTGAATTTCTTTTTCTTTTTCAATTATGTTTCTGTACAAATAACTTGCATCATGGAAAGGCAGAAATTCTGCAGAATGATCTTTGCCACCGAATTTCATATTTAAATTAGCCAACATTGGATTACTTTCTTCATTGAAAAGACCTCTATACATTTTTTGGGGGTCTGTGACATCTTTGTCGTCATCTATTTCTTGTTCAGATTGTTTATGGCTAAATGGCAGACTCTGATAAACCTGAATGGCAGGACTTGTAAGTTGCTGCTCAGAAAGAGTTGAGCATGGTTGTTCTGTTGTATGATGTGTGGTTTTATGGCCGTACATACTGTATTGAATATGGACGGGACTGGTTTCTCTAATGTTTCCATTTTCCTGTTTCTTTTTGTGTCTGCGACGTTTATGTAAAACAAGAACAATTATTCCAGCAGAGCAGAGGACAGCTGTAATTAAAAATATAAGGAGACCAAGAATCAAGACAGACAGTGGTATGTAATCAGAAAGTGATTTTAATATATTATCAACTTGACTGGGTATGGTACTTGGAGAGGTTTGGTTGATAAAAGTTAACTGTGTAGGAATCTGTTGATTGTTTATGAACTCTGTGCACAGTGTTTCCGTATGTAATGATTTTAAATCCATTTTACTCAGCTCTTTTGGGGCATTGCACAAAATCTCACTGACAATGGCATGTTTATGCGTTTGTATCCAGATTTTAAGCTCAACTAAATTGCAATTACAGTTCCAAGGATTGTCTTGAAGTTCAAACTGTACTAACCAGTTTAGGTCTTCTAATACATTACTTGGGAAAATTGTAAATTGATTTGTTTTAAGATTTAATTTTGCTAAGGGAACACCAGCAAAAATGTAGTCTGGCAGTGTATGCAAAAGATTGTTGTTTAAATAAAGAACTCTAAGTTTTGGCATTAATGAAAATGTTCCAGGTAAAATGTCTTTGATGGCATTATATTCCAAGAACAAATATTCAATATTTGGCAGTCCAATAAATATGCCTGCATTTAAACTTCTTAACTGATTGCCATTTAAATACAGCTTTTCTAGTTTAGTCAAATTTAGGAAGGATGCTTCTTCAATGATTTCAATGTGGTTATTTCCCAAATGAAGCATTTCTAGGCTTCCATATTCAATAAAGTTCCATTTATAAAGCATGTGAATTATGTTTCCTGCCAGAAATAGTTTTCTTGGATTTTGTGGTGGTGACCCAAGATCAGACACACTTTCAATGTTACGTTCTTGGCAATGGATTAAAGTTCCTGATGATGTGTGACTAGAACAGTGACACGGTATTGGACAATGTGTGTCTGGGAGCAGAGTAGGTGATTTAGGAAAAGCAAATATGGTTTCCTTTGTAGGAGATTTCTGAACTGATGTTATCTTTGTTGGAGAATGGCTATCAATGACTGAAGCTGTGCCAATAAGCGATAATGGTCCAGAAGAGTCTATGAGCTCATTGTTAGGATATGTAGAACAGATCATTTCTTTTTTTAATTTTCTCAGAATAGACCCTTTCAAATGTGGAGGATTATAACATACAACATCACCTACTGTTGATTGCTGAGGCAAGTTTTCCAGCCAGATCTTCAACTGTAACAATTCACAGTCACAAACCCATCTATTGTCATCGATCTGGAACTCTATTATTCTTCCTATGTGTTCTAAAAGACCAACATATGGTAAAGTCTGCAACTGATTTCCTCTTACATCTAAGTGTGTCAAGGGTACAAAGCGAAAAACATTTGCAGGTAAGAAATCAATGGCATTATCATTGAGTATTAGCACTTTTAACCTGTTAAGTTTGCTAAATGTATTGACTTCAATGGTAGTAATAAAATTGTTGTCTGCTTGAAGAAACTCCAAATTTTCCAGTCCCATAAAAGTGTCTTCCTTAAGTATCTCTAATGAATTGTGGTTAATGTGAAGTTTTTTAAGGATACGGAGGTCATTAAATGCTCCTGGTTCAATATCTTCGATATAATTAAATCCAAGGTGAAGTGATATGATGTTACTAAAGCTTGAAAATTCATCCTTATGCAGCTTATACAGACCACTATTCATGAGATTAATATCCAAATATTGAGATGGTGGTATGGTTAACTCCATTAATTCAACAGAATGTTTTCCTTCACAGTTCACAAACAGTGTGCCATCCTTTTCCTCACAAAAGCAAAGTGATTTACAAGAATTCATCAATGAAAATTCAGACTCACTCATTTCAGATGATGATATAATAAGAAGTATTAGTATAACTGAAAAAGCCATGTTGCGTAGCATTAGGATCTTCTCCCTAGAAAATAAGAAGTTATACAATTTCATTAAATATTTTAAAAATAAACATACTTAAAAATGTCAAACATATTCCCTTAAACAATTAAATTTATAACCATTATTTTAGTAAATAGCATTGATCACTGCATATTATCTATATGACATTAACCATTAAAGTCATGTTGTACTTTACATATAATTCCATTATAATCAATTAATACAAAAGTCAAGGTAGCTCTTTTTTCATTTTTATTGAGTATGATTAGCCTAATAGGTGTGTAAATTTGTACGGAGTCTTATTATGTTTTATCAACATGAGTTTCAATAGCACGACCCAATGTTGCATAAATGTCTTGCAGCTATTGACCTACATACAGAAAAATAAACCACAAAGCTCTACACTATATGTGTATAGTTTAGTAATCAAGTTTTCTGGTAACACTAAATATAGGAAAGGTAAAATCCAACTTGATACTACAGATGTCTGCTAAGAAGTGTATACATTTCTCTTTTTCAAAGGAAGAATAATTTAAAAAAACCAACATACGATCTGTGAGACAATGGCAAATTTCACTTTAAAGCATATCAAATATAATGCCTTAAGTCTTTCATGTTTATAAAGTGTGTCATGAATATGATATTATTTTGAACACTGGTTAGTGTTACAAAACAAAAGCAAACATATTTATATGAGGAAATATATATTGTTATAGTGTGATAGCCCACAGGTAGATCTGAGAACCTTTAACTTAGATTATTTTTAGCTAGCCACATGCATTAAGACTAAGGAAAATTTTGCTTTTCATCCCAATTGTAGTGGGATAATGAGGGGTGAAATTAAGTGAAATTGGTCAAATACCATTGAGGGAGATGATGTAGATGCGCTCACGGAAGCATGCCGCGTCTCGCGGGTTTTTTTTTTCCCCTTGGCCAGAGGATTGGAGACACTGAGTGGGGAAGGGCATTATGAGGGAAGCCGTCAGGACCAACCCAGCGATTGTCGCGGTGCAGGGTTAGCAAGAGAAACCGAGAGGGAACGAAGAGGAAGCCGATGCCTGCCTGCATAGTTGAAAAAGCAAAAGACCTATAGGTCTTTCTCTGATAGTTGCAGAAGAGATAGGGGAGTGACCTCTGTGGACTCTTGGAACAGAGAAATGGATAAGTACACTGGCTGGTTGATAAACACCTATGTTATAATTAGGCACTAAGGCACTAAGATAAGGGAAGTTACTTATTATTTAGTGTGTATTAACGGTCTGCAATTATAGCTTACTACTACTATAACTTCTTAATATAACATACTTTAATAACTGTCTTCTGAAAATTCAATGAACCTGGTATATTGCTGGGACTAGTTTATTTACTGGAAGAGTAAAAGGGGCCAAAAAATTAAAGGAAAGGCGGAGAAGAAAAAAAGAGGAAGAAGAAGGGGGAAGGGGAAATAAAAGAAAGAAGGAAGGAAAAAGAGAAGGAAAAAAGGAAAGAAAAAAAGAAAAAAAAAGAGACAACGTAATATAAGAAAGAAAGGGAAAAGAAAAAAAATAATAAAAGGGCTGAAAAAAGCCTATAAAATATGGCCTCAAAAAAAAAAACAAGACAGTAAACAGAGCTTTAAAAAAATAAAAAATAAAAAAAAAAACAGTTACAGAAAGGAGGGCTTCAGGTTTTTTTCCCCCCCAACTAAATAAAGGGAATAATACTAAATCTATACAAGAAGAATCATTACCATTACTAGACTCTAAAGAAGCTGAGACAGATAAAACAATGTCAGACAATTCATGGGAAGAGAATGTATCTATCACAGCTGGCTACTTATCCAAATGTTTGGAGATCCAGTTAGAAGAAATAAAGGAAGAAATAAACTTGCAGTCTAGAGAAATAAAAAATGAGATCCAAAATATAGGAAGAAGGGTAGAAGCTCTAGAAGATAAAACGGATCAAATAATTATACAACAAAAAAGTACCACTGACAAAATAATTAAAATAGAGGAAAAATTGGAAAGCCTGAAAGAGAAGATTACAGATCTAGAAGATAGATCTAGAAGAAATAACCTCCGAATTAGGGGTATTCCGGAGACTGTAGTAAATACAAATTTAGAAGGTTACTGTGAAGAGTTTTTTAAGTTTCTGGGGATCAATTTAAGAAGTGGAACAAGCAGTATGGAAAGATGTCATAGAACTTATAAGCCCAGCAATGTACCAGATCAAGTCCCGAGAGATACAATTATTTTCTTGCAATCATATCGATTTAAGATGCAAATTATGAAGGCCATGACAAGTAAAGACCTAAAGGGGTCAGTTTATCAGCAAATCAAGATATTCCAAGATCTCTCATACCAGACGAGACTCCAAAGGAAATTATTTAGCAGGCAGACAGAAGCTCTCAGGAAAAATTTAATTAAATATGCATGGGGGTTTCCGACATGCATAAATCTAACTTATAATAATCAAAGGCTGACCTTCGATAAACCGCAGAAATTAGAACAATGGATACAAGAAGGGAATATAAGATAAGTAAAAGAATGAGTTAAAGGTTATTTTATTTATTTATTTATTTTTAGAGATTGCACATTAGAAAATAAGTAAGAAGATTATATAAGACATTTTATATGAAATACAGATGAGAAACATTAGAATTGCACTAGTAAGTTAACACTTTTTCAAGACAAAAGGAAAGGCTAAAAGGATAAAAGAAAGGAGAGATCACAACAGAAATGAAGAGAATTGGACTTAATATTAACTTTGCACTCTTTTGCTAATTAATGATTTACAAAATAAATATATGCACTAATAATTAGAATCACAAACAGAGAAAGATATAGGCACAAAATAAATTTAATGTCATAGAAGTATATAAGCACTACATTAATTAATAATATAGGGTTATGAAAGTTAAACAAATAAGGAAAGGAAGAGGGACTATGACTAAACATTTAAGTTTAAATTGGGAGGTGTAAAAAGAAAAGACAGAGGAAAATAGGAAAGATATTTTTCTTTTTCTTTTTTTTTCCTTCTTGTGGACAAACAACTAGCAATCCTCCTGGCCAAGGAGAGTATTCTAGCTCGCAGATCTCGGTATTGAAACCTTTTGCGAGTTTAGAGAATGGGGATATATACGACACTGAGTAGAGAGTTAGTGTTGTTTGTTTTTTTCTCTCGCTATTTTTGTCTTGCCCCCCCCTCTGGAGGCAATGGGAGATCCAGGAAAGGAGAAAGACAAGGGAGGGAGTAGATACATAGGTCTAGGCCTAAGAAAAGGCAGAATATGTACAATTTTGTGGTGTCTTAAATGTTTGTTAGTTATGATGGTGAACCTCTTAGTCCTCCAATTAAAGGAAATAGGATTTATAAAATAATTTGAAATTAGCAACGATTAATGCACAGGGGATTAATTCACAATTTAAAAGATATACAATACTTGAATTTTAAAAAAAGGAACAAATTCAGATAGCAGCTCTTCAAGAAACCCACTGGAAAGTACAAGAAAAAAACAATCTTACATCTAAGTTTTTCAGTACTATAATTAGTGCCTCTATGAGTCAAAAAAAGAAAAGAGAAGTAGCTTTTTTGTTCTCGAGAAGTATTTCCTTAAAAATTTTACATCAGGAATTAGATATAGAAGGCAGATATATTATTTTGGTAGCAGAAATTAATAACCAAAAATATATGTTAGTTAATATATACGCGCCAAATCAATCACAAATTACATTTATTAAAAAAGTGCTTAATAAAATTGAACGTAATAAAATAGGCCGAGTTATCGTTATGGGAGACTTCAACTGTGTTTTCGATGTAGAGCTTGATAGGAGCTCTAAAATAAAAGGAATTAATTATAAAAACCTGAAGGTGAATGCAAAAAAATTTTAGAATTGATCAAACAAGCTGAGTTACTGGATTATTGGAGGATATTCCACACGAAAGAAAAATATTTCTCTTGCTTCTCCAAAACCTTCTGTTCATATTCTAGAATTGATCTGATTCTGGGGGACAGAAACTTAGCGAGTCAAATTAAAAAGGGTTTTATAACAGCTACTACCTGGTCAGATCATAAATATCAAAGAACAAGATCAGACTGGAGAATGAAAGACTGGATACTGAAAAATAAAGACAAAGACAATCTTAAACAAATTAAAGAAATAACAGATAATTTTTTTAAAGAAAATAGAACTAATGAAGTCTCTCCAGCAATGACCTGGTGTGCATATAAATCAGTAATAAGAGGCCTTTTTATAAGTTTATCAGCTAAAGAAAGTAAATGAAATTAAAAAAAAGCGAATTTAGCAGAGCTGTATATAAAGTTAGATAACTTACTTGACCAAAATAAAAATAATCCATCAAGCAGTATCACTAATTCAATAATAGAAATTGAAAAATTAATAAATGAACATCTAATGGCAAAGGCTAATAAAGCTCTGATCTACTTTAAGCAGAAATGGTACTATACCGGAAATAGAGCGGAAGCATTAATGACGAATAGACTGAAAAAAGAAAAATCGAAAAGAGTCATTACTAAAATCATCCATAAGGGGGAGACTCTACTGAGGCCAGAAAAAATAGCAGAATCCTTCAAGAATTATTATCAGGAATTATATAATATCCAGCATCCAATTAAAAAGACGAATATCAGTGAATTCCTTGGGAACACTAATAGTCCCAAAATTACGCATACACAATTACAGGCGCTGAATAAAGTATTTCAAGAAGAAGAACTGATCTTTTGCATTAACAAATTAAAAAAGAATAAATCCCCAGGGCCAGACGGATTTGACAACCTCTTCTATAAATTACTAAGAGATAATATCAAAATGGATTTAAGTGAAGTCTTCAATTCTTTCGGAACACCTAATAGCATTCCGGCAGAATTGCTGCAAGCAAATATAGAACCAATCCCTAAGCAAGAAAAGGATGTAGAGAAAATAAAGAACTATCGTCCAGTCTCTCTTTTAAATACTGATATTAAACTGTACTTGGCCACGATAGCAGAACGCTTAAAAAAAAATCATACCAGAGGTGATTAATAGAAATCAAGTTGGGTTTGTGCCAGGTAGGTCATCAACACATAATATCAGAAGACTAGTTGACATTCTGAACTCCGTACAGAAGATGGGAGCTCCCATGTTGACCCTGTCATTGGATGCAGAGAAAGCATTCGACAGGGTCAACTGGGAGTTCATGAGGCAATCACTACAAGCATTTGGACTGGAGGGAAGACTTTGAGAATATCTCGGCTCTATACATTGTACCAACAGCAAGAATTATGGGAAAGGACATTAGATCAGAGTGGTTCCCATTGTGCAATGGAACAAGACAGAGGTGTCCCCTATCCCAGCTACTTTACATAATATCTTTAGAACTTCTGGCATTAGCCATTAGACAAGAAGAGAAAATTTCAGGTTTTGACCATAAGAAAGAAAATATAAAAATAAACCTATACCTTTTTGTGTCATTTTACCCCACTCCCTCTAGCATGTAAGCTCATTGAGCAGGGCCCTCAACCCCTCTATTCCCATTCACTTGTCTGGTTACAACTACATGTCTGTTCGTCCACCCATTGTAAAGCACTACGTAATTTGACGGCGCTCTATAAATATCATAATAATAATAATAATATACGCCGATGATGTGATTATAACTATAGAAAACCCTCTACAATCAATAACACATCTTATGACAATTGTAAAAAAAATCTCACAGGTTTCAGGTTATAAAGTAAATATAGACAAATCAACTATCTTAGCTAGTAATGTAAATATTGAAGAAAAGAAAGATATAAGAAAGAGGTTTGATTTTGAGAAATCATTTAATTATCTGGGAATAAATATTTGTGTGGATCCACAAAAAATAGTTGAGATCAATTTTCTTCCATTACTTCTTAAAATGAATAAACGCTTAAAAAAACGCTCTGGAATTTTCATGGTGGGGCCGTATAAATATAATTGAATCTTATATCCTACCAAAGGGTTGTATTTGTTTAGAATGATCCCTTTAAGAGTACCTGATAGTTGGCTGTTAATGATCCAACAATCCTTCTCCAAATTCAAATGGCAAGCAAAGAAACCAAGAATGGCAAAAACATTTTTAGTGATAAATCAAGTCCATGGAGGAGTAGGACTTCCAATAATACAACAGTATTACCAAGCGAGTATTCTTTTTCACTGTATTATTTCACAACAGACAGAGTCTAAACTAGAAAGATGGTATGCAGTAGAAAAAGAAATGTCTAACAATAAAGATCTGTTAACTTTCTTTTGGTTCACTCAAAAAAGGAATACTGATAATAGTCAACCAAGTTCTGAAAGCATGGTGTTACAAGATATTAGAGAATTATGGAGTAAGATAAGGAAAAATCTGGGACTCAAAAATTGTATCATCAATACTTTACTGATCTTAATATTGAAAAATAACATGGAGGATCTAAATTTAAAGAATTGGAGCAAAGCAGGTATACAAACTATAGAAGATTTAATGACATGATCAAATCTCAAAACATATGAACAAATATGTACTAAATTTGCTCTTCCAGAAAGTGAAAAATACTATTATATAAGGATTAATTAAAAAAGAGTGGGAAAAAAGCATGGCTAAGCACATTAAATGTTTAAACTTAGTGGAGTTGCATTTTAAGATAATAAACAGACTCTATCTGGTCCCTAGCCGCCTGAATAAAATAGATCAGAACATATCAGACATATGCTGGAGGTGTGACAAAGAGGTAGGAGATTCGGGACACATTTGGTGGAGCTGTCCCCTGATGGAAGAATTTTGGAAATTGTTTCTAAGTAAAATTCAAGGACTAACTGGAACTAAATTCCCCTTCTCTCCTGAAATGTTTATATTGCACCTAAACTTTAGCCAATACAATTTGGATCTGCAATATTTCTTCACCCATGCTCTAATAGCAGCAAAGATCTCAATATCTAGAAGATGGAGAAGATGGAGAACTAAGATATTACCAAACTGAGAAATTGTAAAAAAACAGCTAATCCTACAATTAAAAAGGTGTAAATAGAAATCTGAAGAAAAAAAAGATTGTTGATATAGAAAAATGGCTAAATAAGCCTGCTGTAGCAGCTTAAATTAGGAAATAAATTAGGAAAGAAAGGGAGAATAAAGTAAAAGCAACAACAAAGCTAACTCAATTATTAATATAGGAATATTATAGAGGACTATAAGAGAGGGAACTGTCACCATCTTTGTGTTTGTAGTGTATTTGTGTTTATTTTTTCTCTTGGTAAATCAATGTTTAATAGAGTATAATAAGATATGTGGATTGATTAGAAAGGAAAAAAAAATATTGATGATGACTAATGTACCAAGGCCTGAGATGCAGGAATTGCAGTAGAATACACAGGTGGGTACTGTCTAAAAAAAAAAAAAAATTGGTCAAATACCAAACAATGTAAATACATTTAATTAAAAGGTACTTTTTGTGTATCATCTTACATATACGTAATCTTAAATATATATCCCATCCCTGGCAGATAGGCATGTACCTAAGGTTTTAGAAGACAGGCCTTGTAGCCAACTTGTTTTTCACATTATTTTCTCACTTTAAAGCACACTTGTAATTAACCTTTTATGTATTATTTTGTCATGGTAATGTAATATTTTTAGATGGCTGATTCAGTCTATAAAACACTGTGCTCCTTCTACAAAAAATTGTTAAATTAACTGGTATCATCTTGTAAAATTACCTGCTTCACTATTCTATTGAAATAAATTCACCATGCTTGACAGCATAGGTTTGTTGACACCTTACTACCCTATGAATCCATATTTTATAGAATCCCTATTCCGGCATAATATACATTATTATTATTATTTTATTATTTATATAGCGCCATCAGAATCCATAGCACCGTACAATGGGTGGTTTGTCATTTCAGGACATCTGTACCACTACCAACCAAAATTAAATCTGGAATGTTCCCAACTTTATTTGTTTGGTATTACAATTTCACTTAAAATGAGACCTTGTTTAGGAATTCCGTAATGTTTCTAGTCATAGCCTGCTTATAGAAAGCCCATCAATTGATAAAGGAACCAACTTTTATTTTTAGTGCATAGCCACAGTATTTTTCTTCAAGCTAGTTGAAGAGCCAGTCAATGCAACATCATTGTAAATTATTCATTAACAACAAAAAAATAAAAATTAACTATAGCTGCATGAAATTATTCCAACTATATATCCTTAACAGTAGGGCTCTAAAAATACAGCATTTTTATTTTCCATTATCTAACTCTGGTTACATATAGAATGATGTTTCAGTTTTAATTAGCAATATAATGTAAATCCCTGGAAGTCTCAACATAGGGCAATAATGTATAAATCTGAGAGATGTTTTGATATCACATTTTCTTTGATCAGATTCATTGTAGAGAAACCATCTACACTGATAAATACATTTTTCTATACTGTGCAATGCAAACATATATTACAGATAACAGGAGATTGCAAACTAGTAAAAACAAATATCCCAGGCTCAGATAATTGACATACGGCTTCTGCTGAAAAGTAAGGTCAACATGCCAATGACAGTGCAATGAAGGTAACAGAAAAAGTGATGAGCGTAAGTCTCTTTTCAGCCTATATAACTATGGAAGATAAGTAGGAGAGCATACACTGTTGCCTGATTACCTTACAGGTGCTCAGAATAGGCATAGTGTGGAGAATGCAATGAACAGTTAAAGTGGCACATAATTGTAAGACAACATAGTGTATAAATCAGAATGTCATTCTTTGATTTGTAAATCCAACCCCTCTGACTGATCCATGTAATATCTGTGGTGGTAGAGATTGAGCTTGGGAGGGTCATAGCCAGATTGTATTGTGGTTTACAGAAAAAAAGTATGTGTTGTTTATACTCTGTAATAAACTCATACACCATACATATTATCAGTGATAGGAATAGACATTTTTTCACCCAAGACTAATCTGAGTGCCCTGTATTTTACCTTTCAAGTGCAGGAGGCAGGTGCACACTGGGATCAATGACCTTGCAAACTGGCTTCTGCTCTTTGACTCCCACACACAGCACTGGAATCACGAGGGAGAGAGGCTGCACCATGGACAACCAGGGAATTAATTTCTAGAGAGTGGGTAGGTATATCTTTCTCCATCTCCTGCCACTTCTATCCTTACCTCACCCACCTGTGTTGCTTCTCCTTAGTCCCATACTTCTTCATATCTCTCCCCTCTTTTCTTTATTTTAACCAGCAATGCATCTGTCTCACCTTCCATTTGTCCTTCCCATATCAACACTTGTTTCCTTGCCTGTAATGTTACTTACCTGGTAAGCGCAACAATCAGATATCCCCTTATGAGCCGTGTTCGCTGAAAGGTTAAGCCATTCACACAGAACAAATTCCAGGAAGAAGAATGCTGCTCACATTCAGAGTGTATTTTTAAAGGCTCAGAGTGAATGCCACATCACATTCTACAGGTATGAAAGGGACTAATCAAATCACACCTAACACTATATAAACTTCTTTGGCCCCATTTACTGGGCCCTAGCACGCTTTCTGTTCCTAATATCCACTAAGTGCATTTCTTGTTTCTGTCTGTTTTTGACCTTCACTAGGTCTTGACTCTGAGCATTTCTGTAACCTTAACCTGATTAGTAAATATGTCCTTTTATTACTATTTACTAAGTCCAGCTAGTTATTTGTTTATTTTGTCTTTCTGTTATCCTGCCCTTGGCTTGTGTTTTACCACAATTTCTCCAATTTATGTTAAGCCCAGATACTCTAAGATGCGTTAATACGTGTTTATATCTAGTCGGTTATTGTTATCCTAGATTCTGAATATTAGGGTATAGTCCAGTGACCTGCCTTATCACACGGATATATCTGTCGTATCATTCCTGCATGTTTGTAACCTAGATCTTTTACTTGAGTTTCTTCCTTTCAACCGCATTTCCTCTGATAACACTCTACATGTTTCTTACCCCCAATGTGTCTACCTGTCACCCCTCATGTGTATTTGCCCCACCTCACCCTCAATGTTTCCCTCTATTTCTCCACATGTGTATTTGTTCCATTTCAGCCCAACATGTCTCTTCCTCACTTACCTGTGCATCTGGCCCATCTCAGCCCCTAATGTCGCTGCCTTTTCACTACCCTTGTGTTTGTCTACAATCCACTTTTAGCTTCTCTCTGCACTTGGAGATGCTCTATCTCCCAATCAATTATATATGTAGCTGGAGCATGCTGCATGTGGAGAGAAAGCATGAATTTGATGTTACATCCTAAGCCAGGCATGTCCAACCTGCGGCCCCCCAGATGTTGCTGAACTACAACTCCCATGATTCTTTCAATGAAACAGATAGCCAGGGAATCATGGGAGTTGTAGTTCAGCAACATCTGGGGGGCTGCAGGTTGGACAGCCCTGTCCTAAACCATCCTCTCATCTCACACAAAGTGCCAGTGCCATGCCAACAAAATGAAGAGACCTGCAGGGAGAACATGACTGCTTCTAAGTTTCATACAGCTGTAGGAGTAATTGACAGCTTTATAGGTTACACGGCACCAAGGGCCCTGCAAATAATGTTAGAATACACATGTTTATGGCTGCAGAATAGGGGCATACTTTTTACTAGTATAAAATATACACACAAGAAAAATAGGTAATTCATGATTTTCATTGGTGACTTAAACAGCCAAGATGTGATTATAGACACTAGATACCACCACCATTAATGTAGAAGAAATGTTTCCTTATTCTAAATGTATTCTAAGATTGCAATCAATCATGTCAATGATTTCCAAGGTGTATGAGTTTTAAAAAAAAATAAAAAAAATTAAGCATGCAACACATCTGTTTTAATGTCTATTTCCTTTCCAATGTCTAAGTATTTCTTCAGGTTAAGTTACATAGCAGTTTAACTGATTAGTGTTGATCTATTATTTCACTGGCAAGCTGTCCTCATGTCCGCTTTCTTTTATACCATGCATCCATGACCTCCCCTTCTTTCCTGAGGACAGGTGGTAAAATAATACATTTCTTGACTCATGACACAATTATCATCATGACTTTATTTAGTCAAACAGAAAGAAGGGCTTATTAATCCATTTATTAGACAAGTATTTCTTTAGAATGTGCATTTACTAAATGCAGGTTAATCGTACTAACAACTACTCCAGCCTAAGGGTTATAGCTCTTTCTAGCCAGAGGCTCAAATCCTACTTTAAATGTTAGTATAAATCCTATCCTAAAGATAGGTGATTTGTTAAGACGTTTTAAGATTATCCTTTGCAGGAATTTTCAAGGATGCTTACCATATACTTTGCATGGAATTCGGAAATCTTCTGACTTTTTGGCAAATGTAAATTGACTTAAGAATCCATGTTGCATTTTGACTTTATGTGAGTATTGGTGTCAACCTTGTCCTGCTTTATTTTTAGTTTTCCATGGGCCATTAGTCATGATTTTTAAAATGTATGACAAGCTCTGACTATATATATATATATATATATATATATATATATATATATATATATATAATTATATTGTGAATATGAATTAGAGCCTTCAGATGGATATAGGGGGATATTTAAATTTTAGGGGTGTAGTTAAGGGTGTGAGCAGTGGCAGGGCTGTTCTGAGAAATTGTATGTGATTTACTAAGAACAATTTATGCAACTAAAATTGAATTTAGAACAAGAACAAATTATATTTTAGCAGACTGATTTATAAACACATTTGTTACAGTTAACAAACACATTGCTGTGTGCATTAAATGAACATTCCACTTCCCAAATGGGCAAAACAAGAAAATCACTGTTTAGTAGATATAACCCCAACAAATGCATGCATTAATTTCTCATGTATGTATTAATTGGGGGTATATCTTAAAAGAGTTTGCAAAGGCTGAAGATCTTAAGAACTGCAGCCTTAGCAAGCCCTCACCTTTTTTTCACGGAAGAGACTTTCAATCTCTTCACAGGGACATAACTAACCAAAGATCTCTGCGTATGCTCATGCAAGCCTGCACTTGCACATTGCCTGAGGTCTGGAGGAGCTTGTCTGAGTGTTTTGGGGTGTTAAGTGGTCTTTTAATGCTGTGGAGCACTGGTATACACTCAAATATCAACAAAATGGAATTCCTAGAAAGATAGACAGTAGGATGGAAAGAGGAACAGGGGGATTTTGGCAAAACATATGGACTGTCTCTCCTAAACTGGGAATTTAGGAGGTGTATAATTCTTAATTATGCTACATGGGGGCACATTCAGAGTTTAACAGATAACCTTTATAACTTTAGAAATAAAACACATATATACTGCATGGCAAAAAATGCATACCATTAGAATGTGAAGATTCTATAAAATAATCAGTATTTTTAATAATATTCTTAAATTACAGGAAACCCTTAATGTTATATCCAAAGTATATAGCATTTGTGCATGGGCAGAGTGGCCCTTAATCTTTGTAGTACTGTTATTAGCATGTTACATACAATAAGGTTATTTTATTTACTAGCATGCATGTCTGCACAAGCCAAAAAATGCATTCACAATAGGTCATTCAAAATCCACCCTGCCCTGTTACAGACCTATTTAGATACTACAATTAAATGATCAGTTAGCAAAAACAGAAACTGCCTTGGAGGATATCCAGCCCTAATAATAGAAAAATTATGCTACATATTTTTACTGTTGCTGACAAAGTTTTGCATTTCAGCAGAAAAAAATATGTTTTTTCTTTGAGCATGCAGCGACCATGATCTGATCAGCAACCACGAATACAAGCTGTTTTCTGAAAAGAGACAGTAAGAATTATCCTCTCTCTTTTTTTTTCTTTTCCCGCAGCTGTTGTCACCTGCTTACTGAACTTCTCTAAGCAGTAAAACAAAGAACTACTACATCCCATAACATTTACATGCTTATTTTGACTTGTCTCAGTGTGTTTATTTAAGTGTCACCTATAATAAGCCTTCCATGACCACTTAACTTTCAGATTACCTTAGCTTCAAAAACAAGCACAAACAAATTCTGTGATATTCAATAAACTGTGAACTGGTAGTGAATTAAAACATTTAAGCTAAACAAGTGAACTGGAAAATATATAGTCAATATATATTCAGTTATTTTGGCCACAATTAGCAATTCCCTGGCAAAACTTTAACAGTTCAGGGTTTAGTGAATAACATTGATTACCGGTGTGCAAAAATGTCTATAAGCTAGGCATTTCAAACATGCTTTGCTTGAATCAAAAGCATAATTTAAGTGTCACAAAACCATGGAGGTTATTCAAAAAGGAATTAAAAAAATGTTGTCAAAAATGCTTATTTGGTTAAATGTCTCCTCTGCTTTTGTCATATTTGTCCTCTTTTACCCTGATTTTTACAATTCAGTTACCAGTCCACCACATATTAATACATATCAATTTAATTTGTCTATGATTCCTGTTAATGGATCAGTCAAGCCATTTTCTTAAACAGATATGGTTTATTTTAGACCCAGGTTAACTGCTTCCCGCATAGCTTTAGAAATTATTTAGAATACTATAAACAAGACAAAAGCGTGCTAGACAAAATTCTGAGAGGTGATTTTCAGTTCTAGCTGGATCTGACACAAAGGATAAAACCTGTTCATTTTTATTGTTACATTCAGTTACTTAGAAGTGTGTTCACTATTGGAATGATTTGCATTTTATTAGTTCATGAATGGATGTTTCATGACTGGAATTCATTTAGTTGAGCCAAAATCTTTTTGGTTCTATCTTGACAGGTTTTACTGAATGGCAGTGAAAAGCATCACACATGATTTTCTTTTTGGTTTGTTATAGTTTTATTTCTAGGAATAAAATAACTGTCTAGAAGCATATTTTATCGGTTTATTCTATGAAACAGAGTTGGCTAATCTCAGAATCCTAACCCACAGTTCGTACTTAAAGGAACACTTCAACAACCATAACCACTACACTGTGCTGTAGCATCAAGGGCACCAACTGTTTCCTAATGCACTTTAAAATGCATCAAGTTCTTACCTGGGGTCTATATGGCGCTGTTTCCCACCTCCTCTCAACATACAGGAATGCTAGCTGATCTTTTTAAGGAGCTTCCAGTAGCTCTCCTAAACTAGGCCCTGCACTGCAGAGCTAGCTCATTGACTGAGAGCATCAGCTGATCACACTCAATGTGTCAGACAGCAGTGCCGGACTTAGCTCAGCTCTCCTGTAAACTGCAACGGTGTCAGGAAGCAAGGTGCAGCAGACCCAAGGTAATAAGTCAAACCAATTCTAAAACGGTTTGACTACTTACACTGAGTTGTGATGTCAGTGTTCTCCTGGCATAGTAAACATTGTTTTGAGTGTTCTTTTTAAAACTTGTTTGAGAAGCAATGCTTTAAGACTCACTACTTAGTAATGTCTCTTATTATTCCTGAACATAAGACTACAAAGTGTTCAATTTCACATCATTTATGCTGATTTCTGTGCACTTTAACAGAGCAATTGTCTAAGTAATTTCCTTTACTGAGTGATTAAACATCCAGAAATCCTTCAACTGAAGAAACCTGCCACGCATATGTGAAATAACACTTTTACAAGTATAATATGTATCAACAATTTAATCACCAAAGTACACAAAGGATCACTGTGAACAAATTAATTGCAGGGTCAGTGGAATTAGACAATTTGCTTTGAAACTAAAAACATGCATTCTATAGTTTGTGACACACCCTGTGAACTTTAGAAAATTACATAATACCCACTATACCCAAGGCAAAAAATTCAAATGTCAGGTAAAGAATGCACTGAATGCTTTTCGTCTTCCTGTATACGCACGCTTACCTATCAAAGCAACTTTTCCATTTAAACATATTTGACTATGAAACCTTGTTATGACTGAAATTTAATGTGAAAGCATTGTTTTATACACCAATTCACACACTGAAATTCCAGTCTGAAGGTGACTTTCTAAACCCCTTGACTGACATATTTATTCTATGACTATAGTAAAAGTATTGAAAACCAGTTTGGCCAAATCACAAGTTTATCACATATGACAGTACATCCTTCCAGTGCTTTGAGAAAGTATGGCCTGTGGAAGCCCTGAAGCTGTCTCTGTGAAATCATGAAGTATAAACACCCTTAAAATTCTTTGATTAGACTCCTGAATCTTCAGATTCTGTCAACTTCTCTATTGACCCCTGGAAGAAGTGAAAAGAGAAGCATAAAGAGATCGGGAATATATTAATTACAAGTATGTGGTGTGTGTTTGTGTATGTCAACATGTGATGTATGTATTTATGATTGTCTAGTTATGTGTTGTTTACATGAGTGAATGGTTACAATTGGCAAACTGAAGTTATTTACCAGTCAATCAGCCTAATGTGTGCTGTAAGACAGCTGAAATAAAGATACCTTCATTCCAACCCTGTAAATATGTTTTTATATTTACATGATTATTAGCCACCTTGAATTGATTCAAATATAGTATTTATCACCTAAAATTCTTTAAATTCATATTTTGGTTACAGGATTTTACCTATAGCTCCCTTCATGTTTAAAGCTGCAATAAAGTTGGACGAGTGTGATTCACTACCAGAATTGGAAACAGTTTCAAAATAATAAATGGTTTACCTTCAACAATTTTACTATAAGAAAAAAAACTAATCACTGTCTTATTAGCAAAAAACAACCAAGCTGACCAGATTATATTGTGCCCTAAATTAAATGTGTTAATTCACTGACATGCTACAAGGCTCCAGCTTTTGACAATACAATGATATATTTTAGAATTCAGTTTCACTTATACCAAAAAATATGAATCACATCATTAAATTCACCTTTTTCATCAGTCTCTACCTGCCTTTCTGCCCATTACTTAACACTCAAAATTTCCAAGATTGTAATACTTCTTTAGCCTCTTCTTTCCAATACACCATCCAACATATCAGCTCACACTCAAGGGTGTAACCATCAGTCTAACACCACAAGTGCCTTGTGTTAATATTGGCAGCCCTTTCTTTATAACCTATCACATCAAATCTCTAAATCTTGCTACCAACATATTTTAGATTTAGTTCACATTCACCCTTTCCTGAGACAGAATGCATGGCTCATGATGGCCACAGGTGCCACTTTGACTTGGGCAGTATTTTTCCACCCCTTGCACATGTTAACTAGTTAGCAGCAAGGGTTTATCTGCTTGTCTGCAGACTGAATGTAGGACTTTTACTCCACAAGCAATCAATGTGTAAGGGGCCTGGGCCCCAATCACCAAGTTATTAGTATATAGTAAAAACTTGTTGGTCTCCTTCTGTCTTCTACATGACAGGATTCCAGGAAGTATTATTTTTAGAATGGCGGGCTTCTCTGTTTTTTGTGCACAGAAGCGCGAGGGATCTGCATGTGAAGCTTCACCATCACCAGGCAGCCTTTGGACCAGAGCTTACAGTGGTAAGCATTATTGTAACACAAATCTGTCTTTTCTTCAATCTTCATCCTTTTGCTGTATACTTACTTTCCTTTTAAATTGTGGGTTACGAAGGTAAAAATTCTGTATGAGGAGCACTAGAGCAGAGAGGGATGTCAAAAGATCTCCCTGACTAGCTCTGTGCTCTTCAATCAATTGCCAAGTGGGCTCATGGTATTTAAAAAACATTGTTTACTGCCATGAGTCTGTGACCTCAGTCCAGCAAAGTGCAGCAAAGTGCTGGTCTTGGAGGTGGGCTTCGGTTAACTACGTGGGGTAGGAAATAGCTACACAGGATGAGGTTTGGAAGCAAATTTTCATCTCTGATTGTAAAGTAAAGGAAAAGTGTAACTGTCAACTCTCTGTCTTATTCATACATGTATTTGTGTAAGTATCTGCATGTATGACAGATTATGTATCTGTGCGTGTGTATTTGAGAGATTATCTTTATGTTTTTGTACACACCTCAATTTAAAAGAAATAGGACCGGCACGCTACGGGACATCACAATCCTATATCGGCACAGTGCTGCTAAAAGGTTGCCTACCCCTGATCTAGAGACTGCAATCAGTTACATAAGTATGCATTTGCAGATGCACACAGACACACCTCATGTATGCACAGATGCATCATTCATACTCGCAGATGCGCACAGATGTGCTGACTGTTCTGTATATTTATGTTTCTGCAAGTATATGTATGTGGCTTGATGTAGATATTCGTGAGTGTGAGACTGTAATTATGTATCTGTGCGCATCTGCGAGTATGAATGATGCATCTGTGCATACATGAGGTGTGTCTGTATGCATCTGCAAATGCATACTTATGTAACTGATTGCAGTCTCTAGATCAGGGGTAGGCAACCTTTTAGCAGCACTGTGCCGATATAGGATTGTGATGTCCCGTAGCGTGCCGGTCCTATTTTTTTAAAATTGAGGCGTGTATGCTGCTGTATTCTGCTTGTGTTATTTTTACTGTAATTGCTTTGCATCGTTGTATTTGTGCATATATGAGCTATTATATTGTATATGTTCATGAGTAGTTTATGGTATTGTGTAGGATACATATGAATGTGGGCTGTGTATGGGGGCTGTTTGTGGAATTGTGTGTGTGGATGGATATGTCACATTGTGTGTTTGGTAGTGTGTGGGGGCTGTTTGGGGTATTGCATGTGAGAGGCTGCATGTGGGGTTGTGTGCGTGTATGTGGATTGTCAGTGGTGTTCAGTTTGTGCGGATTGTGTGCATGTTTGTGTGTGGGCTGTCCATATTATTTGTATGCGGGGAGGGTTATTCTGCATTTCTGTTTATATCAAGCAGTGTGGGTGGCTTCCCTGGGTTCCAGTGGGGACCTGGCCAGCCAGGTACAGGTCAAGGACAGGAGCTGCAACAACTGCGAGCTGCTCTAATACTGTGTGGATTCCCATTCACAAGTGTTGGAATGAAGTGCTCTGAGATCACTTCCTCTACGTGCTGCAATGCATAAATTGAGGATTGTCCTTCTTCGTATTAGCATATATCTGAAGTAAATTGAGGATTGTCCCTCTTCGTATTAGCAGATATCTGAAGTTTTACTGGGACTCCTAATAGGCCAGAGCTTGGTTCTAGTAGCCTTGAGTGCCGTGCAAAGGCACCTCGAGTGCCGTGTATGGCACTAGTACCGTAGGTTGCCTACCCCTGCTCTAGATGTTTGTACTTGTGTGAGTTAATGAAGTCTAATTATTTATAAATATGTAAAAAAAATAAAGTTGCTTTTGTAAAATCTGAAAGTGGGCTGTTTCGCATGTTTCTTCTCCCAGTCTAGCTCAGATAGATACCCACAAATAGCCACATACCTCACTCACAGTTACCAATAGACAGCAACAAACATCCCTTACAGTAACTCATAGTCACAACTACTTACACACATTACTAGCAACAATGCCACATGCATCTCTCACAGCTATCCAAATATCACGCACTAATGCACATAATAATGGATGTGGACATATTTTGGTGGGTGTGGTTTTGGTGAGGCAAGGGCAGCATTTCATCTTTGGACCCAGACAGGACAATGTCTTGAGTTGGCTCTATAATTATTGCCAGCTCATTTGATGTTATCCCTAACTCAACCCCATTTAATGTGTAAGTGGGTTCTGGGTTCTTTAATCCAAAGTGCATGACTCACCTGCCACTTGCCTGAACAGTCTCTCAATTTATCCAAATCTCTCTGTAGAAAAGTTATATCATGTTCAAACTCTATGATCTTACTAAATTTGTGTAATCTGCAAACACATGAGTTTGAAAACTCTCTTCAAGTTCGTTTATAAACAAATTAAAGATAAGTGGACCCAGGACAGAACTCTGAGGTACTCCACTAACTAATTTTGTCCAATTTGAAAATGTCCGATTTGCAACTTCCCTCTGCACTCTATCTTTAATCCAGTGTTCTATCAAACATCAAAAACCAACTGATAAAAATAAACATGAATATCCTTCAAAACAATATCTGTTCTAATATTATTACTGACATGGACTATACCAAATGCAATTTTAGTGTGCTATGTAACAATGTCTCAGTATTACAAGATAGTTAATTAAAAAAGTCTATAATTCTTAAACCAATAATATAAAACAGATTTTTCAAGAGCAGGTAACATTGTGTGTTCATCCAAACCAGATGTAGATCGTACTTTAACAAGAAGAAAACATAAAACACACAAACAAGGTCACAGACCTTATCTGCTGCCCCAAACATACACATTTAAAGTATGAAAGAAATTATTAGTATTAAAGATAAAATAAATAATTATTACTTGTATGTTTTTAAGTCAAAATACTGATCAAATTGCAGAGTATACAATCTCATAACCATAAGAGACTCACTAGACAATATTTTATTAATTTTTAAGTTTTTACATAATTGTTGTATGTTTTAAACGGTTTTGTCAATGATTCATAAACCATTCTTTTTTCTGACTGGCTTTAGCGTATGTTCTTGAACCAGAATCAACACTCTACATTGATGATGAAATCAGTCTTAAAATTAGAGGCTACTAAATTATGTTAGCAAAGTTTAATCCTATCTAAATCCTTAATTCTCAGATTGTGTATGTATGTTAAATATAACAGGAGAATGAGGAAATCACCCAAAGCTAGGGCAAACACAAATTCACAACAGCTGCACATTACACAAACAAAATTTGCATTGTACTCATTATCAGCTGCAATGTAATGTATCCCAAGCAAATAGAAATTAGAATGTGGTTGTAGTCAGTTACAATAACTATTTAGGCAAATTTGTAATATGCTATCAGTGAAATGCTGTCATGGTGTGTATGTATAGTAACCAAAGCATTCTCTAGGACATATATTCATTTGACCCAAAAGGTGGAGAATTATACACATTTCCATAGTGTATACAGGATGTATACATAATGTATACCGTGTTTTTAAACAAGTATGTGTTTTGAAGATAATTGATCAGATGTTGTAATCACTAACCATATGTTATTTTCACTTTAAAATTAACCCTGCTATGTACCAAAAATGACATGCTCCTGTTTTATAGTGCTTGCAAAGGCTACACTAAAAAGCACTTAGCAGAAACATACATTCATATATATCATCAAAATGTACCACAGAAAAGAGTTTTGTTGTAATACTTATTATTTTATGTGAAAAACAGTATAAAGATCTGAGCAATTGTTGTGTCTTATTTTGTCACAATCCTAATGATATTGATGTTACCATGAATGGTTTTCATTCTTTTAAGTCAGGTGAGTACTTACCTGTTATTTTTCAATGCTGCAGTATACAAGAGACTGAAAGATATACATATGAAAGTCATTGTCACCCCTGTATTTATAACTAAGCTTCTAACATTTAAAATGCCACACACAGAACACATTTAAAAAGGACAATAAAGCAGCATGACAAATATAAAAAGTAAGCAATTTCTTGTATTGATACCCTTTAACTAAGAGGTGGACGTATTTTGTTTTAGGATATTTCTGAAGAACTCTGGATTTAAAATATGAGACTAATTTACATTAGATCAATTGCAAGTTATTTAAAGCATATCACGACAGTTTCTATTATAACTAAAATAAAACCATGAATTTGCACTACTTATAATTTCTGAAATGCTGGTATACATTGATAATTTAAACCACTGCTAATTACAGCAGAAAATAATGGATTGTGCATAAAACAATTAATTATGCATCATTTCAAATTATTATCTAAAAGAACATGTATATCTTTATTTACAACACATCACTGAATTGCTCTTAATCTTGACAGGATTATCAAAGAAAGGGATGATTGATGTAAAGGGTATTATGTTGATGAAGCTGTGTGCATTAAAATATAAAATACTATAGCAATACATTCAAAACGTATTTACATACACATCAATTTGAAAAATGTTTGCTGTCATGGATGCCATTTGATACTATACAGTGTCAACTATTGCAAACGCATACATAAACAAAACATGCATCTGTTTATCTGCTTTTAAACGTCAGTATACTTTTTAATAGTTTTTGTTTATTTCTTTTCAAAAGTTCATATAGCAAGGGTTTGACAAATCATTAGTACAAAGACTTTCAGGGCTTACGGTGATTAATGATAGGACTATACCTGTCAATATCATTATTATGTCCTATGGTAACAAAGGTAAGGAAGTCTATTAGAACATATGAGTTTCTCTTACCTGTTTTGTGCGTTAAAAACAATGGGCTTTGCTCTCTAAACATTGAATTGTGCTGGCTTGATAACTTGAACAAATTAGGCCGAAACTTCAATTTGAAAATATCTAAAAGACATCTGAATTTCAGATTTAATGCAATTCAGCTATTTCAAACTAGATTTTGGTAATCAGTTAGTAAAACAACAGAGCTCCTTTTTGAGTTAGTATATTGAAATAATTACAGATACATACATTAAAATTACCAAAACAAATCTAAACTAAGATATAGAATTAAAACTAAGTATGCAGTGAACACAGCAACAAAACTTGACAAAGAAACATAATAGTGTTAAACCTGACCCTATAAATTAAGACCTCTTCTAACATAGAATTCTTACCTGTATAGATCTGTTAGATATAGCAAGAAGACAGTACTTGGTTAGTGAGGTACAAACAATCTGCTTGGTATATGACTCACTCTGTAGAAAAGAAAGCATCCAACAAATAGGAACACTGTCACCTGACCATTCATTATCCTGCAAGCTCAAACATATTCGTGAAGGTGCCTGCAATCAGAACAGGAACGAGTCTGGAGATTATAGTGCCGAGCTCCCACTGCACTGCTTCTGTCCAGCATACAGTAGGAATTCATCCAGAAGCATGCATCTTGTTTCTTAGTTGAAATTCAGAGCAGCCAACCAAGCTATCTCCAATTTACTTGATGAAGTTAACCATTGGCAAGCCACTCTGGAGCAAATAAACATGGTTATGAACTGAGACTCCCTGTGAAGCGCAGATCTAGTTTGTGCCCCTGTCTGTGTTTCCATTCCTTTCTTTCTAGTCTTTCGTGTTAGCTCAGATTACTATTAGACAAATTGCTAAGAGCACAGAAATGGGCGTAAAGGAGGAGATTTCTTGGCTTTTGACTCAGCCTTCAAGCCCTTCCCCGTCAGAATTGTTTAATGTGCAAGTGTCATATTACTGAGATAGGATTAAACTCCACCTTGCTACAGTGCGTGCATAGACAAATTACTTTTACTCCATTTAATCACACACACACACACATACATTCTTGTTTATAATAAAAAAATAAAATAACAAGTCTAATAAGGCATTCTAGAGCAAGCAAGATTGGTCATGAAGCTCAGTGTTCTCTAGTTCATTAAACCCAGTTTTTACACATTGAAATATGCAGCTAATGAAATGGATATTTTATTTTCAAGGACAAGTGAACCTGATGTCTTACTATAAAATGTATTGTGCTAACTTTATTTTCTTTTGTTGTTATGCTACATTGCTACTTGAGCTAAGAATAGTTTGTTTGCTTGTTTTATTTCAACAGAAAGTGTGCAGTTGTTCAGTAAGGTTGAACTTGACAAACCTGTCTTCCTTGATTGACAGTAAACCTTTCACTGCAAATTTCTTAAAGAAAATAGAAAATCCAGATTTAAGTTTTAGTTTTATTCTACTGTGAAAGCAAATATTGTATGCCTATTATATATTATCTGTAGCTAGTTCATTAAATAGTGTGCATATCCCACATTCTAACAAAATATTGTATGCCTATTATATATTATCTGTAGCTAGTTCATTAAATAGTGTGAATATCCCACATTCTAACAAAATATTGTATGCTTATTATATATTATCTGTAGCTAGTTCATTAAATAGTGTGCATATCCCACATTCTAACAAAATATTGTATGCCTATTATATATTATCTGTAGCTAGTTCATTAAATAGTGTGAATATCCCACATTCTAACAAAATATTGTATGCTTATTATATATTATCTGTAGCTAGTTCATTAAATAGTGTGCATATCCCACATTCTAACAAAATATTGTATGCCTATTATATATTATCTGTAGCTAGTTCATTAAATAGTGTGCATATCAAACATTCTAACTAAATATTGTATGCCTATTTATTATCTGTAGCTAGTTCATTAAATAGTGTGAATATCCCACATTCTAACATGCATTTTTACTTGGAAATATTAAAGACAATATGCAATATAAAATACTGCAAAGTGAATAACAGCTAAACATGAAAAATGTTCTGTTACATTTTAGCTCCAAAATGTCAGTTCTGTTTTAAATGTGTATTCATTACCTATACACACAAATCTGCTGTGCATACGGGTACTCATATCTAAATTTTAAGACAATTAGACTTGTACACAGCAAGAATTTGGCTCTACTAAAACATTTTTCCAGAAGGGACAAAAGTTTTTGGGGTCTGTGAATAAAATTAACATTTAGTGACTATCCTCTAGCCATCAATCATATTGTTTTTTCATCACAGGCACCAAAGGCAGAATTTAGAATCACAACCCAAAATGAACATGCTTGAAACATTGCATGTTTTGATTGGTTCGTGATTCAGGTACATTTCAGCTCAGTACAGGAATTTGATCAATTATCTGATCGGCTTAAATTCATATGAATAGCAGTTGGAATCAAAACAAATCTCTAAGTGTAGTCGTTATTTTCTGACAAATGTCTTATGTATTCCCACACTAATGTATTCCCACTGTGATGTGTCCTATGGTTTATTAATTATAAGTAGGGGTCACATGGATACAATCTTTTGGGGTATGGAATGAGGTTTTTGATATGGGGAAAGTACCTTCTGTACTTCCTGTTACCAAGGACAAATACTGTCAAGTTGTTAGGAAAGGTTGAACTTGACAGATTTGTCTTTGCTGTCTCTCATTAATCATTTCTCTAACAAATTCTTTAAAGTTAAAAAAGCAAATACAGGAAACAAAAAGGTGTGTGTGTGTGTGTGTGTGTGTGTGTGTGTGTGTGTGTGTGTGTGTGTGTGTGTGTGTGTGTGTGTGTGTGTGTGTGTGTGTGTGTGTGTGTGTGTGTGTGTGTGTGTGTGTGTGTGTGTGTGTGTGTGTGTGTGTGTGTGTGTGTGTGTGTGTGTGTGTGTGTGTGTGTGTGTGTGTGTAAGTAAAAACACTACCAGAATCCAAGTATTTTGGGTGTCCTGTTATTCCCTTTACCTGTCATTCATTTTAAATTTGTGGTTGAACAGTGTATGCTTGTATATGCAGTTTCAGCATTTGACTGCAAGGGTGTATTTGTGTGTGGTGTTGTCGTTAGAATACAGAGGTGTATTTGTTTGTAGTGTTGGCAATGGAGTTCAGTGGTGCTTGTGTATGGCATTGTCATTTAATTGCAGGGATGTATTTGTGTGTAGTGCTGGTGTTTGAATGCAAGGGTGTGCTTGTGTGTAGTGTTGTCATTTGAATGTTCAGATGTGTGCACATATATATGTATACCGCCACACAAACACGGATACACATACATATTAATTAACACACACACATAGACAAACATATATACACATACGGATACACACTGACACACAAACAGCAAAGGCAAAATCCCAAGGATCCAATGTACAAAGAAAAGTGTTTTCCTAGGCAGACTTTATTAAGGGACACGGTGAAGCAACATTTAGCTTTAGCTTAGCAATTGTCTTTCTCAACCCAAAATGAAAATGCTTTGTCTTCCTCAACCCAAAATGAAAATGCTTAATTTTTAAACTTAAATGTTGCTTCATTCTTTTCCTTAAAGGGACACAGTAGGCACTGTATCTGCTTCATCTCATTAAACTGGTTATAGTGTCTGGAGTCCCCTGGTACCATAATTTCTTTCAGCATTAAACAGTTTTTAATGTTGTAATTTTTTAATGCTAAACAAGAGTCCACGGCAGTCCATCCCCTCTGTGCTGCTTTGGCTAATAAGGAAGTATTACCCTAAGAGGCAATGGCTGAGTGTGTCAGCTGACTGCTTTTAACCTGTCAGAGCTCCAACTGACGGTATGAATGGGTATGACAACAAGGAAGTGTGTAATCTCTGCCTTAGCTACACATACAGAAGGGGCCGGGCTGTGGGTGGCCAGGGACTCTTATTTTGTGGCATATTGCACAAACATGGTGCAACCTGAATGGTGGGTCAGTGCCAGGCCACTCCAGGCACTATAACCAATTCAAAGAGACAAAGTGGTTATAGTGACTACAGTGTCCCTTTAAGAAAGTCTGCCTAGGACAATATATTTTTGCATATGGGAATCTAGGGATAGTCCTGGCTCTCACAGAGTGCTCTCCCCTTCTCTCTGCGCCTGCTCCTAACCCATGCAACACTGTAAGCTGAATGGAAGTGACCTTTACTCACTTATTCCAAGCATCATGGTTTTGACAACTGCTCAGTCACGCTGCTCAAGAGCCATTGTGCCTGTCTGTGCCCCTGATCAGAGATATTCATCAGGTGGCCCCAAGTTTGAGGGCCACCCAACAACGGATGCCCTCGAGGTAGTTTCACAGCTGATTTTGACCTTTGGTGGTTCATGCCAGGATAGCACGATTTTGGCTACACACACTAATACACTGATACCTGCGCTTATATGAACACTCTGATACATGCACACGCTTACACACTGATAGACATACGCATGCACACAAAACACACAGATACATACACATTGACATATACAGACATCAAGTCACAGTGTGTATCTGACAGGGTGTATCTGGCTATGTATATTTTTGACTGAGTATGTCTGTGCACGGGTCTGGCATTGTATTCCTGTGTATGTGCTTGAAAGATGAGAATGTAAGCACCTGTGTGTCTGGGTGACTGTGTGTGTATGAGGATGACTGCAGGGGTGACCATGTGTTGGGTGCGGAGTGTTACACAGTGAATAAACTGTTTGCATGGGATATGTATCAGAATCACAAGGGAGATCACGGCTAACCCCCAAAATCATGTAGAAAGCAGATGCAGTGCATGATAAAATAAAACATTTTGTTAACTGAAATAGTTTTTTATTTATATTATATTTTATTATAGACTGCATCTGCTTTCTACATTATTTTGGGTGTTAGATGGATTCTCCTTTGTGATTCTGCTGAATTAGTTCATGCTGGGATTGACTGCCCCTACTTTGGATGGAGAGCTCAACTGTCCACTAACTGGTGAGCGTTTATATTAATTTCAAATATTTTATTTGCAACGCTTGGAGTCATTGTGGTTTTTTGGAGCGAGTCTAGCAGGATTCTGGGATTATTTTCGGACTCTTTTTTGTGTTTATCTTGTATAGGATATGTAACTACCAAAGTCTATTATTCACCACTGGAATATCGTTTTGCTCAGTATTTGCTGTCCTATTTGTTAGAAATTATAACAATAAGGGTGACTATGACACTGTGAGTGTGGGCGATGACTGTGTGGAGGTGACTGTGCTTGGAGGCCCATTAAATCTGCCTCTCAAAATTCTACTGTAAATGTTGAAACGGACAGGTCTCCTATGTGGCACTGTAGCTTCACGAAATAGTGCCAAAGACATACAATGGGGGCAATTAAAGCCCTTTCTGTCCTTTAAAAAACAGTATATTATATGTGTCGGTGCAATAAACGAGAGATGCAAATGGCAGTTGAACACATACAAGCTTCTGAAACTGTGTCCTTAAGGGGTTAAAGGGACACTATAGTCACCAGAGCAACTACAGCTTAATGCAGTTGTTCTGGTGAGTATAGTATGTCCCTGCAAGAATTTTCATGAAAACACTGCATTTTCAAAAAGTCAGTGCTTACATTGCTGCCTAGGGACACCTCCAGTGATAGTCAAGTAGACAGTCACTAGAAATATTATTATTTTATTTATTTTTATCTTTTATTTTTTATGTTTATATAATTTTATTTTTATATCCATTTTTTTTTATTTATTTCTATTTGTGTTTACTAATTTGTTTCCATGTTCGTGTTTCCAACTACATTATTTGATCATCTGTGTTCTAATCTATATATGTGAATTCTTTTTTTTTCTCTTTTAGGCATACTAAAATGGTTAAAGTGATTCTATAGTCTATCAAA